GCAGCGGGATAGAAAGAAGTTCTTACATTTACATGAAAGACACACATTTCCCATGTACGTCACATTATCTCAAATGAAATGTTTTAAAGACTAATATGCCTGTCCTCTATACAGTTCAGTTGGTAGAGCTGGCGGCCCATGTTCTGGGTCTAGATTTCTCCACATTCTGGGAACGTGGGTTTGAAATCGGCCTGGGATCATTTGCTCCATGTCATCCCTCTGTCTCTCCTTTTCAACACTGTCACTTAAATAAAGGCACTGGTTGCTAAAAAATTTATAATTAAACGGACAAATTGGACTAGAAACCCTCTTAAAGGGGGGGGCAATGGCACCTACCCAGATTCCCAGCCTCCTACGTCCCATCTCTGAGCTCTTGATACGTTTTAAATCTTCATTTAGATCTCAACTACACACCTCTAAAGTTCAGCAGCTTGCACAGTTTTGACATTAGTGCGGTGAAAAATAAAAAACAAACCAACATAAATAGTAGTCAAAATGGTTTCTGTGGTCATTACCATTAGTTTCTGGTAATGTTTGCCATGATGACACACAAACTGAAAACAGTACCATTACAGTCACGATTGTTAAATACATTTGACCATTTATCAAATTGATTTGAAGAAAAATATGCTACAAATGTTCCCTTTTTATTATCTTGTGCACTGTTGACATCATGTGTTGCATCTCATTTTCTGTCATACAATCACTTTTCTAAATAATACGCTAGACTGTATTGCTTATAAAAAGCCCTGTCCATTACCTATTCTTTGTCTTGTTAGATAGGCCAGCTGTCAACATCACCCTATTGAGCTCCAAGTCTATCATATCACTTCTGTATCTATTCTTCCATCTTGCTTCCTCTCTGTGTCTCTCTCTCTCATGAAAGGCTCAACAGAGATAGCACTTTTTTTCCCATGCTGACGTACACTAATGTACTAATGGATAGAGGAGATAAGGGGGAGAGGAGAGAAGGACAGTACGCCACACACACACACACACACACACACACACACACACACACACACACACACACACACACGGCGGGAATTCTCTAGGGAGGCAGATTTGTGGGCAACTAGCCCACCTCGTTGGGGGGAGAGGGGATCTGAAGGTGACATATGAGTGAGGGAGCAGAGGGGAAGAGTGGGGTGATTGTGGACAGGAAAACTATAAGACCTGCAGAGCGTGAGGATGATAATTCACTTAAACATTAGCACCGCTTAGCAGTAATATTATCTCTGCAAGATGTAGTCACTGAGGCTCTCACATTGGCCACACACTGACACATTGATATATCCTATTTCCTACACATGTCCACACTCACATGCCAAACTTTCAGAAACTGGTTCAGGAAACAAGCTGCAGGCATGAATGACAGACAAACTGTTGTGTATTCTGAGAAACTAATAGGAAATTACTCCGCTAACTTCTACTTAATGGGATAAAGATGGAATTAGTGTGCTCAGGTGTTGTGCTCATCTGCTCATTATGAGTTTGCATTGTAGAAGCTATATAGCACACACACACTCACACAAACACACACTCACACACACACTCACACACAAACAGACTGCAGCCCGACCCTGAGATTATCAATCATCTCTACCAGCCCGGTGTTTTTAGCAGTCTGAGCAGCCGATGCACTGCTTCAATCATCGTCTGCCAGTCTAAATGCTAGTGCTAATTAGCATTCACATGCTAAATTACCTCCCATCCCATGTTTCCTGATTAGGCTTAATCATTCTGACAGCTAGTTTTACTGCTAAGCTTGCAGAGCCAATGCATGCATGTCCCAAACTCCAGGAAGGGACCCAAGGAGCTCTCGTTCACTGCAGAGCTGTATCCAGATAAATAGACTGCTTAGATCAGGGTTTCCAACTGGACTGATTTACTGGACCAATGGCCTCAGATCAATTGAAGTCTTTGTAAGATGATTTACAGGCCTTACAGATTCTATTTATCTTTACTGACATTTTCTACAATGCTCTTTTTGATAAGCGTTGGATAGTTTTTCCCTAAAATGTATTTTAAAATAAACAAAAACTGCTTTTATATGTATACAATACTACTTTTGTTTTGCGCTTTATGTAATAAAAAAAATGTTGTTGTAATTTGAACAAGTTCATGGATGGACAAATGAAATAAAGCTTACAAATAGGTCAAAAATATCCTTTTCATCTTCAAATGTACCAGATAACAAATATAAAAGCGTAATTCTTTATAAATCAGAACATCTAATAGTGATACTTATTATACAAGAAATGTTGGTAAATGAGTGGATATATGTTCATAAAATTGTTGTTTTATTTGAGGTTAGAACTTTCGTATATATTGCTTGGTATAGTGTGGGCATCCTGATTCAAACAATGCATACAGCTTATGTATTGCTAAAAAGCTTATTTCATTGAGAGGGTGGAATACTGGGAACAGAGATAGGTTTATAGAAGATATAGGGGCAGTATACAGCATGTCACTGCCGTCACACAGAAGCTGAGGAGAGCACATGTTGCCAGAAAAAGGGAATTAGATCATCTGTGAGTGGGAGAGATGTATTGGAAGGAGCAGGGCCGGTGAACTCCTGATCCACCTCACTGGCTCTGAGATCCCCTGAAGTCTAACTAGTCTCACTTGTCTCAGTGTCTCAAGGCAGTGAAGTGCCAGCATTATGTCAATCAAGCGGCTGGCACGGTTACCTCGGTAGCTGCTCCAATCTGTCCTGTCACTCAGACTATCTTCCAAGATAGAAGGGAAAGGGAAAAGTAATTGGATTTGCTGCAAGCAGGGAAATGATGAAATGACATGAAACCACCCCCTCCCTTTATCCACCACACACACATCTACCTTCACACACCTACAGTATGCACTGCTGAGTAAACCAACTGTTCTCTCTCTACCTGTCTTGCTTTTGTTTCTTATTCTGGAAATACTTCAGGCTGCTGAGAGTTTCTTTTCATCTCTCATGATGTGGCGAGAGCGCCTTGTTCTCCCAGGTAGACAAAAGAGGAGACGGAATGAGGGGAATGAAAGGATTGCCAGGTTTTTAGCGAGATCAGAGAGGGGCTTTTTAAGGATGTTTCTGACAGAAGGCACAGAAGGCGGCCCATAGTGCAATGTCCTGCTGTTAAAAGCTATCTGCCCCCAACCTACACCATGTCTCCCCACAAAGTGATGTACTGCGGTGTTTAAAGGAGAAATGTAATCGTGTTCATGGCCGGTGGATTCTGACAAGGAGAGTCGTCTTACTGCGCGACAAAGCTGCAGCCTACATCCCTTGAACATTTCTCTACAGCCTAAACCAACACTGAATACAAGTGTACATCTTTCACCACTAGTAAAACCCTGCAACTCAGGGTTTGTTTTATTATCTTGCAGCCCTGTGTCTTGTATGGAATAGTCTAATATGTCCTTCGGCTTCCATTGTGAACTCTACATCCAACAACAATGCTTATATGACCACCATGTAACAATATCTTCGAGTAGTTCATTTAATGAAGCCACTGTCAAAAGTTACAATGTTTTGTTATCAAAAAGTTACTTTCATTAACTAATTTTTCCGCACAAAAACCTGAAATTGGAACACCATTTCTTCTCCGTTGGTCGCCAAGACACTGTCTCGGAAATATGTATCTAGACAGTGAAGCCTCAGTAGCGATTTCTAAAGGACCATTTCCAAGGTCAAGAAAGACTTTTCCAAGTCAACAACACTGTTTCTCGACAGCCCCTGTCACACTGTCCCGAAATTGACACCCGATGGACACACGATAAAGGAAATGTTCAAATTTGGCTCTGATCGTAACAACATCGGGCCATTCGTGAGGGCATCTTAAGCCATCGTATGACCGCCGGTGGAGTTTCTCAGGCTCCGGCAGCAACTTTGTGAGTGGTGGCAAAATCTCCGGAATGCCAAGAAATTACCAAAGGACCTTGCGAAGGTTCATTATCGTGTTGAATTTGTGTGTCCATTCTGCTCTTCGTAAGGCACTCGTGAGGGCATCTTGTCAAATCGTGTCATCTTCGTCTTTACTTCGTGTGATCATCGGTGCCATCGGGCATTTTTCGCCTCACGAAGACCATACGAAGGAAACAAGAAGCTGCCCGATTGTCTTAGGAAGGCAANGAGGTAAAGTGTGTCGCCAATGTAACCGGTTAAAACTCAAAGTGGCGATGAGGTCTTAAAATGTATGGAAAGGGTCTTAAAAAAGGTCTTAAAAGGTCTTACATTTGACTTCAGGATTCCTGCATATACCCTGGATATCCAAAACTTGTTTTTTGAGGAATAGCTGGAATATTAAATGATAAAAAAAATGTAATTACAAAGATACTCTAAGATAACTACCTCACCAGGTCAAAAAAGACCCACTTATGCATCTAAGGGTTAAGAAAGTTGGCTATTGGTAAGGATAGGGTGGTGCAGTGTAGAGGATTTTTTTAGAATCGTAAGGGCTACAAAAATAAAGCCAATGGGATTGAATATTGAAGAAAGTATAGGCCTTTGCCAAGCACATGTTCATGATACCAATATGTTTTGTTCAGCAGGATAATCCCAACATATTAACACCACTTTTCGGATTTTTGAATAAATGCATTGCCATACATAAAAAGCTAACGTTAGTCTACAAACAAACTACATCACAGTTGCATAACTTCACGTCACCACCACTAAGCTAAAACTGGACTCCGTGTTCAGCGTGATGACGTTTAGAAGTCTACATTTTTCACTTGTTCGAAACTTCAGTTTTTATTAAACATATTTACGCTTCTGACATTTATTTACTGACATATTTAATTTCGTGTGTGGGATCTTTTAAGCATGTATTAACCACAGACCATATTTCAGTCATGTAACCAAAAGCATGTTAAAAAAGTTGACTTTGAGACAAGGGAACCGGAAGTTCTTCATCATTCAACTCATGATTACCTGGTATTAGGACTCATGCCTGCACCACTTGATGAGTGGTGATGAGTTGATGAGCCTCTCTGTATTTTGTTGTGCCTCTCAGTTGATTCAGGTGCTGTCTGCGTACTCTGCAGACATGGGCGTGGTCAATATGGAGGAGTGCACTCCCCTACACTACGCTGCTGCCACCGGCAATGCTAACTGCTGCAAGTTCCTGGCACAGAGAGGTGCTGTGAGAGAGTCTAACAATAATATGCATCATAATGTCAATACATTCAACTTCAGCTTTTTCTGTCTTTATTAATGACACAAAGATAGCTCTGTGGAAACTACTTCTTACGCCATAACAAGAGTCAAGAATCCTCTCTGTTTTTCTATTTTTAAGCTTATATTAGTGTTGTGATACCTGTAGAGCCAGGAAATTAAAAGTTTCAGTAAAGTTAAAGTATTTGACAGGAAGAAAAAGGGGTTGTACAATGTGCAGCTGCAAACACAGTCCTAAATGAAATCAGGTAATTCTACCATATGTTCATATTTGTCCTAAAACTGTGATCTATGTTCAGGTTGTAACCCCAAACTGAAGAACCTGGAGGGTTTGTTGCCACGGCAGATTGCCAAAGACGCCGGTCACAAAGCAGCAGCCAAGGAGCTAAAGAAAGCAGAGCGGCAGCACGGGAAAGGAAACAAATCCACGAGTGGCGGCCTCCTGTCAGATCTCTGGGGCCTGACCCTCCACGACTGGTCCAACGAGTACGAGACGGAATTACAGCAAGTCTGTGGGAACAAATCAGAAACAGTTTCCACCGTGATGTTTATCTCAGCGTTAGAGGAACTAAAAGCTCCAGTAGATCTAGAACAGATCCATCAAGTCATCTCAGCCCATGACAAGGGAAGAGTGGGGTGCATCAGCATTAATGACTTCATCAAAGGCGTCAAGTACATCAAGAAACCACTCCTCCTCTCCTCATATATGCCTAAAAAGAAAAAGGGTGAGAAGGGAGGAAAAGGTAAGAAGGGTAAATTCGTCCTCCCTTTGCCAATTTGCACCCTCCCGCCGGAGCATATGCCTCGCCGACCAGACGGAGGCCCGCCCCATTTCATGATCGAGACTTACTTCAACTGCTCAGACACCCGGAGATTTGCTCGTGACCAACCGCCAGCACATCCCATAATGAACGACTCTGGGTGGTACCTAGAAAAGCCAGACACTGTCTTCGTCAATATCAACTGCAGTGTAAAAAGTAGAGACTTGGAATCTTTGGACCTCGCTTTAAATCAGGGGGTTCCTGTGGATGTTCAAGATCAGTTTTACAAAACCCCGCTGATGGTCGCCTGCTCCAGTGGCAACTACGAGGTGGCACAGTTTCTACTCAGTAGGGGGTGAGAAAATGTTGTTCTCTTTTCTTTAATTTAGATTTCCAAGCTCAGGAAAACGTTCTACAAGCAAATTTTCTTTGAGGCAAAATGAAGGCAATACTACTTCCGTGATGTCACTTGGGCCCACTTTTTAGCTGAATCAACTACCTAGTTTGAACAATTGAATACCCCTTATCTAAATAATTCCATAAAGTTGTAAAATATGATAAAAGCCAAATTGTTTTCTGTCTTCATTCAGGTTGGAGGCTTAAGGAAAACGCAAGTTTTCATGCATATATGTTTGTCAGGCCATTTTGGCTTCATGCACCACAGCATCTTGTGTAACTTTAATACGAACAAAGGAGGCCACACTGTAGGCAGTTGTTTTTATACATCCATGGTGCATTCTTGAGTGTGTATACAGCTTATCTTGTGTTATAATAGACAATTCAGTGTAATATTGTTTGTGCTCATTTATATGTTAGCTCCAGTAAAGTATTTTTTTGACTGCTTTATACCGTCATTGACCGCTTCTCTCACCTTTAATGGCTAGTAGGGGTCACAAGTGTTAATAACCAACCAAGTAACAAGAGGCCTTTTTGTTAAACTGCAAGTTGCAGGCCACATTTTGGCCATTGTTGCCCAAAATTAACAAAATAATTCAATACCAACTAGCTAAATCGGTAGAGCTTGATAATATCAGGTCAGTGGGCCTGAGCCCCATGTTGTTAGGGGTGGCATATAATTTCCATATGTTTTGATGCACCAAAGTTAAGCATAATACGGGATTAATGACTACCTGTTTTTTTTTAATCTTTGCTGCCTTTTTGTTTGTTTTTGTTTTGTGATAATGAAAACAAAAATATATACTTTGTTTTTAGTCACACCTTTATAAGACTTTTAACTTCACTGAAAGAAGTACACAAATCTGATTTTCTCTCAGTGTGTAACTCTGTGCAGTGACTCGGAACACACTTTAATAATAATACACCTTTTCCTGACAGGGCGGATGTGAACGTGTGTGACCAGTTCTTCTGGACGCCCCTCCACCATGCAGCTTACGCTGGCCAAGTGGAGCTAATTCTACTTCTTGTTCAGGCGGGGGCTGTTGTCGATGCCCGGGGCCTCGGTAGAGGCACGCCCCTAATGAGGGCCATCGAGACCTCTCGACCCTCGTGTGTGGACTTACTCATAAAGGCGGGAGCCAATGTCAATGCAGAGAACAAGAAAGGTTTGTTCATCTAAAATACAAAATAATAAACTATTAAACTATTTTCAAATAGGTCAAGGTCCTGAAATATAATAATAACATATTGATATATTTACTGAATGTGTTTATATTCACAATACATTTCGGGAAAGCTGTACATATTTGATAGTTAAAGGGGCCTATTATTATTTTGGGGGGGTTTTCTTTCATGTAGTGTCTTATAGGTTTTTGTGCATGTAAAATAGTCAATTCCCTCCAGAGGGATTTCTCTCCCATACACCACCCCCTGCCTTAAACGCCTCTATTGGAGTCCTTTGTTTACACAGTGACATCACTATGTAGCAGACACACTTCTATGATAGCGCTCTAACACATTGTACGTGACATATCTTAGCGGTTGACCAATCACAACAGAGCCGGCCAACCAACCAATCGGAGCAGACTGGGCTCTGGATTCAGACAGAGGGTGAAATGAGGTGCTGCAGCACAGATAGTATGAGGAGAATAAAGAGCTTTTTGAACATTAAAGCATGGAGACATGTCCCAGTAGAGACACAACATACAAATATGAAACCTTGAAATTAGCATAATATGTCCTCTTAAACACTGTGACATTCACTTAACAATAATTTATTTTCCTTCAGGACTGAACTGCCTTGACATCGCCAGAGTTTTTGCAGACTCCCGGGTGATGGACATGGTCAAAGAAAAGATGGATTCTATGCCTAAACCAAAGGAGACAAAGGGGAAGGGGGGCAAAGCTGAAAAACCTAAATCTGCCAAAGGAAAGGTACCCAAGTAACTCCATAAACTCTTTTTCACCTGCCTGCTACAGACTTATTAAAATGTTGTGTCTTCAAACTTTCCCTGATTTGTGTGCTGCATGTGGGAACAGGATATAAACAATCACGATGGAAAAAAGCTTCATTTTCGCTGATGTCATAACATTTAAAATGTTAAAGGTTTGATAAGAGCCAAGCCCTATATTGCATATATGATTCAACATAAATAATGACACAACAGAGCAAGGCTATCAGCTACCCCTGATCCTACCAGTCAATACACCACAGGCTGCCGCTAGTGTCATCAGATAGATAAATAGAGGAAATGGTTAGCAAAATGACATGATTACTGTGGTCTGCAGGGTTCCCGCGGGGTCTTAAAAAGTCTTACATTTGATAATCAGAATTTAAGGCCTTAAAAGGCTTAAATATCATCAAAAAAAATAAGAAAGGTCTTAAATATGATTTAGAAGGTCTTAAAAAAGATCGGATTTGAAAGGTACTTCTGTGTTGCGATCACGTCTAAATGTGTTTTGGGGAAAATGTCCGGGCTGCAAAGTAACCAGTACGGTAAGAGCATTTCAGTTCCCCCAACAATTTGTATTGAAATAAATCAACATGGCCCCAGGGTGTTCTCCCTTACCCAGATAGTAACCTAGCAACCAAGCTTCAGCTAGCTGCAGTCAGAAACTCTGGTATCTTTGAATCTACACTGAAAAAAAATATAAACGCAACACTTTTGTTTTTGCTCCCATTTTTCATGAGATGAACTCAAAGATCTAAAACATTTTCTACATACACAAAATAACTATTTCTCTCAAATATTGTTCACAAATCTGAAAAAATCTGTGAGCACTTCTCCTTTGCCGAGATAATCCATCCCACCTCACAGGTGTGGCATATCAAGATGCTGATTAGACAGCATGATTATTGCACAGGTGTGCCTTAGGCTGGCCACAATAAAAGGACACTCTGAAATATGCATTTTTGCTTTATTGGGGGGGTCCGAAAACCAGTCAGTATCTGGTGTGAGGGTTAGGGTTAGGGTAATGTTGTGAATCGAGCGGCCCATGGTGGTGGTGGGGTTATGGTATGGGCAGGCGTATGTTATGGACGATGAACTCAGGCCACTCGATTCACAACATTACCCTAACCCTAATCCTAACCCTCACACCAGATACTGACTGGTTTTCGGACCCCCCCAGACCCCCCCCACATAAAGGAAAAATCGCAACGTTTCAGAGGTGGGCTTTTATTGGTGGACCAGCCTAAGGGCACCCTGTGCAATAATTTCATGGCTGCTAATCCAGCCATTCGTTGATTTATGCCACAACCTGCAGGTGGATGATTATCTCGGCAAAGGAGGAAGTGGCTCATATCCACCAGTCTTTCAGGATTTGTGAACAATATTTGAGGAGAAATGGTTATTTTGTGTATGTAGAAAATTTTTTAGATTCTTTGAGTTCATCCTTTCATGATGAACTGGGAAGCAAAAGAAACAAAACGTGGTTGCGGTTTATATTTTTGTTCAGTGTACTACAAATAAATATGGGGAAGTGTAAGGTTCAAAACCCGTAATTTGGTTGGAAACATCGATTTAGTGGGCTTTGGTTGAAAACACCAGGTGGAGGGGGAACGTGTTTGAGCCCCGGCTGCACCTTGTTTTCGCAAGCAAAATTAAGCACTTTGTTTTAGCTAATTGCAGGCGTTTGCTAATGCGGCGTATGTAGTGCAGCGGTTTGGGCTAGCTGCAGCCAGGCTCCAACAACCATCGGGGGACCTCCGGGGTGACGGGTTTGGGTCTCGGTCAACCCTAAAAGCGGAGGTGCTGGTGGACGCGTAAATACCGTAGCCATAAACACCAATCATACAGATAACCAAGACGGATCAAAGAATTT